ATATATAGAGAGATGAGAGAGCAATTATGCTGTTTTTAATGTTAATATAATGAGCCGGACGTTTCGGACTAGTCGACCATCTTGACGATCCGTCTTTTCAGGTGAAACCTATTGTTAAGTTTGTCTGAATATGTCTGAATGGTTTAACTAGGTCTTCTCTACTTACTGTATTTATATATATATATATATATATATATATATATATATATATAGATAGATAGATAGATAGAGCACTTTATTTAGTTATTTTGCCTTAGGTGAAACTCGTCTGGGGGGTTTTTTCTTTTGGACTTTGGACTTTGGACTTTCATGCTAGATGATTATTTTTGGTTGACGTACATGTTCTTGGCTCTTATTTTTTTTTTTTTAAATACCTTTTCCCCCCTTTGGTATTGGTTTGATTATTCACAAATTAATACACCGAAGGTTTTCCGGACGAGTATAATGTCTTATACTTATAAGATTATCACTACCAATATATATCTATACATATATATATATATTTTAAGAAATTTTAATGTTTATACGTTCTTTTTATAGATACAAATAGTTTTAAGTATTTAAGTATTTTTATAATAAACAGTATTAACGACATTTACTGGCCTGAATGTCCGAGATTTTCATAGAAAATATGCGTCCTTCGACAGGAATCGAACCTGTATCCTATTCGGAACCGTCATATAATTGACGGACCATTTCATTCCATTTATATATATATATATATATATATATATATATATATATATATATATATATATATATATATATATATATATATATATATATATATATATATATATATATATATATATAAATACATATATTTATATATATATATATATATATATATATATATATATATATATATATGTATATATATATGTATATATATACATATATATATATCATATATCTATATATATCTATCTATCTATCTATCTATATATATATATATATATATATATATGTGTGTGTAACGTAGATGCAGTAGACCGGTGAAAGTTAATACTTTTGATAATAAGATTAATAATATTTATTGTATATTAGTCGGCCTTTTGATAAAATCGAAGCAGGATGAGAAAAGATGTTAAAAATCAGGATTTTAAAACAGTTCTGTGTTCTTTATCAACAAGACGAGAAATAAAAAGTGGAACATGTTTTTCCATGGAAAATATTTTTTTTTCGCATGTGTAATATTACTGAAGAGATCTGATAATTTGGGCTTAGTTGCTAACCACGATTCGGTGTTGTGGAAGACTTTTTGCGGAAACTGTATACTTTGAGTATATCTAAATTCCTCTTTAAACCTAGAATGTGTGAATTTATTTTGAAAAGGCATTCTGGGTTTAAAGTGGAGGTGCATACAGTAGCTCCGTAAATGTAAAAATATTTTTTTTCACTGTTCGTTTACAGCGTTTCAAATTCGATTTTTTTTTCCAGTTATGTTATGGAGAAAACGTCTGTTTTTTTTTTAAAAAGAAAAAGATTTTTTGTAATTATAATATTTTAATTTAGTATTTTTATGTAAAACTTTGCTGCTCCAAACATTTGAGAACCTTGTTTGAAGCGCTGTAAACGAATAGTGAAAAATATTTTTTTAATTTGCAGAGCTACCGTATACACATCCACAGATATTTTAACCCCCCTCAAGATGGTCTCAGAAGAGATTGAAAGTACTTAGAACATAAAATTATTTCAAAGAATAATTTTAAAATTTTTCTTAATAATTTTTCTAGAGCCACCAAGAAATTAATTCGTGGACTTGAAAGGATTAAAACAAAAAATAGATATAACATCTAAACTATTTAACAAAACCTGCTTCAATATATATATATATATATATATATATATATATATATAAGAAATATATATATATATATATATATATATATATGGAAAAAAAAATTTGGAAAAAAAAATCCTTAAATGCAATTATGTTGTTTAAACAACATAATTGCATTTAAGGATTTTTTGGTTTGTTTTTTCCAAATTTTTCTTTCTGTCGGATCTATATCCATTTACATTTTTATATATATATATATATATATATATATATATATATATATATATATATATAAAAAGAATTAATCATTCCTTGAATCAATTGGCAATATTAATGCAATTATTGGCGAAATCTCTTCGCTAGTAGACGTAATTATAAGCATTATACTACTAATGCGTTTTATAATAAGTAAGATTATTGTATCAATTATGAGTTACGTTCGAAAAAGGGGTTAAGTTTAGGGAGGGTAGGGGTGCATTTTTCAACGAATTTTGACATCCGTTCAACGTGTGTCGTCTGGTTTTCTTTATCAACGAGAAAAAGGTTTTCGGCATTTTTTTTCATACTTGTATACATAAAGATTTTTTTCTAAAACGGGGGTTTCAGTTAGAATACGTTATATTGAACTACAATTTTAATTTATTATTTTTACTCTTAATTACTAATAGACTACATTTCTTTTTAGAACAAATAAATGTAATAGAATTACTTAAATTA